CATAACTCATGGCTCGGTTCGAGGCCATATGATGCGCTGCGGATCCCTGCAGATCCCCCCGCCCGGCGGCCAAGGAATTTATTTAATTTTCCTTTCTAAAGCGGGGAGCCCCCGCTACGGCAGTGGGCGGGTATAACTCTCCGGTATCACGCGAAAGGCTTCAAACTTTTCCTGCGGGGCTTTATTGACTAAGCTCCTGTCCTGCACCCCCTCCCCTCTCTCTCCGGGCCGGGGGGTGGGCCCGTAATGTTACATAACTGTGGAAGCCTCTCTCTCTTTCTCTCTCTCGCCCTGTCTCTATTTTCTCCCCCTTCCTGTTTTGATGTGTTCGGGACATGCGGGCCCGCCGCCGCCGTCCGCGCGGGGCTCTACGGCTGTGCACTTTGCTGATGGCCTCCGAAGCGCCACGCCACGCCACGCCCTGGCACACGAGACGTACTTTCGTGAAGCGTGCACCGGGCGTAAGGACAAGCCCGGTGGGAATAAAGTATCACGGCGGTTCGCGACGGTGTTTTTAACTCCCCTCTCGCATCACAACCCGCTCTCACTCTCTCGCCCCCCCAACCCCCCGACAGCGTGTTGCGTATCGGCGTGTTGTCACGTATAAACGGGACACAATAGCCCGCGGGCTGACGCTGGCTGACAATGCGGTGCGAAGCTATTTCAGTGCGGTCCTGTGGCGGGCTGGCCCGGGGCCCTGTGTGGCGTGCCCTGGCCAGGCTCCAGCCCGCGGGTCGCTGCGGCCATAACGCTTTCCTCGGACCTAACGTCACGCCGCGGTTTATTTCTTTTTTTTTTTTTTTTGCTTTTCGTTAGACTATCGGGCGGGCTGCGTAGGAGGATGTGACAGGGACTGATGGGGCGGGCGAGGATTAGAGAGTGGTTTGCGTGGGGATAACCTGGGCGGGGTGTAGGTGGGTGGGGTTAAATGCGTAATGTGCTGCTCTCGGCCCGGGCGGCGGCGGGTCATGGTCGTGGCTGTGGCTGGATAGTGCAGCTCCAGCGGGTGGGAGGCGGGGAGGGGTGGGTACCCGTACCCAGGCCGGGCCGGGCCGTGGGGGTGCGGCCTTGGCTCCCGGCTGGAGCGGCTGGAGCGCAGCCACCGCACTATTACATTGGCACGGCACGGGGGAGGTGTGGTTCGGCTACGAGGAGGCTGGAGCCCCGGCTGGAGGCTGGAGCCCCTGCTGGAGGCTTGGAGCCCCGGCTGGAGACTTGGAGCCCCGGCTGAAGGCTTGGAGCCCCGGCTGGAGGCCCGGGCTGGAGGCTGGAGCCCTGGCTTGAGGTTCGGCTGGAGGCTGGAGCCCTGGCTGGAGGTTCGGCTGGAGGCTGGAGCCTTGGCTGGAGGTCCGGCTGGAGGCTGGAGCCCTGGCTGGAGGCTGGAGGCTGGAGCCCAAGCTAGATCCCCGGCTGGAGCGCTGCCACCGTACCATTACATGGGCCCGGCCCGGGCGAGGTGTGGTGTGGTGAGGCCGGGATGGAGGGAGGAGTTCATGCTGGCGCACAGCCCCCCCCC